AAATCACTCACTCACATTCTGCCATGGTTGAATCTTCAAATGAGACGCAACAAAAGGCAAATCTGACAAATCTTATTCAGAGTAGCACGAATTACTATTTTAGTAAAGCGAGTAGCAAAACCAGGAGTATAATTTGATAAACACGTACACGTTGTGTGGTGTCATATTCAAGTTGTTCGTAGAATAAGATTTACTAGAGTATCGTATAGAAATATGAGTCATCTTACATGGTATGTTGGTTGATCTTATTCTTCAAAATCATTCCACTTAGTCGTGCCCTTTTCCTTCCATTGCAGATGGACCTCCGTTCCCTTGACGAAAATTCTTGTAGCTAGCCCCCGTTCCTTTCGCAGCTTGTACGCTTCATTCGCTAGGATTCCGCGACGAATTTTCATTGCGGGCGGGAGGTCGGTCCTTACCGACAAACGCGATTGGGCGTGGCCGGGCTCAGCTGGGGCCTTCGTACGCTTTCTCTGTTGCTCTTCGAAAGCCGCCAAGACGCTATTCCTGTCGAGCATGTAGCAAAATCTCGCTGATGATGTTGATGAATGTACACTAGAAAATACTAGAGATTGAAGGAATACATACTCAATACCGTGTAGGGCAAATGTTTACATTGATATTCTAAGAGTGAACAAGTTTTCTTGGAAATCATTAGCAAGGCAGTCAACTGTATAGAAAATAAATAAACAGATTGATATAATTGATAATAAAAGGTAACCCCCGATATACTTCCCGGTTCTGGATAAGACTTAAAACATGCAATGCATGTGCATTCAAATATTGTAATATGATATAAGCTAAAACATTAAGTGATACTTTGCAAGTTATTCAGTGTAGGAATTCAGAAAAATAAACAAAACAAACTCAGGGTCTTCATAGACCATAGGCCTACTACCAAGGATTTAGTAGATCGATCTCATATGATTATCAAAAAACAAAAACAAAAAACAATGAGACCAGAGCCAAAACAGTCAAGGTAGAGCGATAACAGTTTTTTTTTTTTTATCAGTGCGAAAGCGAAATACATGAAAAATTAGTAAGCATGAATTTTAAATGTTAATTCGCCTGGTAAACATGGTAAACCTGAAAGTGATTAAATTATATAAATAACGAAGATGGCAATTGGAGTTGCTGTCTATTCGAGGGAAACTACGAGTCAAATGACGTTGACCCTTTATTTTTATGATTACATTTTATAGGTACAAAATAAATTTATGTTTAAAATATAATACAAGCGAGTACCGTATCAGCTCTTCCTCTCACATATTTCAAAATTTTGAGACAGATTTGTTTTGTAGAGCAATATATATATATAGGCAAGGGTCGCGCTAAGTTCCGTTTTTGCGTCCCGGACTTAAAAAACCCCCAAATCTCACGCACAAATTTTGCAAAAGCAGTGAGTAAACTAACTTAAATTGATTTATATTCTGTACGGTACATCAAGTCAGTTCACTAATGCAAATTGGCCTCAACCCATACCACTTCTATGGGCATTTATCATGCCTATGATTTACTATGCATACGGCCTTTACCTACCAATCCTGTCATATGCGTTCTAATGTATGTTTTCCGTTCCCAGGATGACCATTATGTATATGTCTACGGCTGATTGTCAAGGAAAGGAAACGGAGTTAAGTCTTTTGTCTTTCGTTTGTTGCTACGGCAGGCAGCCAGTGAAAACGAATTCGTTTGATACAATTATGGAAGTTCAAGCACTTCTTTAAACATACAGAACTTTGTTATTCCTAGCTCATTTTTCCTGATTGAGGTGTCATAATTATGAAGGGGCAGAAACTCAACTTTCTAGAAATGTGATTTTCTCTTTGAAATTCAGATACCGTCCGCCAAATGACTTTTTAGTTTCCTCTCTTCAAATTCATTTTAATCACTCATGCGTTAAATATGCATTATATAATTTGCATCAAATGAAAGAGGAGGATCTAAACTTTCCAAATATTTGTCATTTATCAATTATAATTGTGCTCAAGTTATGATAAAACATCGATAATTCTCGGTTTCGTTTTTCTGGGACGCACTGTTTATTCATAAAAATGTCGGTATTGATGAATAATCATACCAGAAAGGTGAAGTGTACTTGTTATTTGTTTTTTCTCAATTATGTCAAAGATACTTTAGGAGCTGGAACCAAAGTACCATGACAAAAACGAATTTGTAAACATGTGAAGTGCGATTAAATAGGCCTCGAATGAAAACGTTTGGACGAATTTGCCTTAAAGGTAATACAAAGATTTAGTATGGGGTCATGAATTTGGTTCAAATGAACATATTGGAACTTGGAAGCATATGCGTTCCTACAATACTCAGTGATCGCTGTCGCGGTTGAAATCGAGTCTGAAGTTATGAAATTGTAAATAATGCACTGTTTATGTTGTATAGCTCCCTCTCAAGGTCAAGATATTAATTAAGCGATAAAACAATGTTTCTTTAATAAAATCGACCGGTTAGCTATTCCCGTTTGGAAACTATATATCACAACTACATATTCTGAGATTTTCATGGTCGCAGCTACCATTGTACGGCCGTAGGTGCTATTTGAAATGTTTATATTCAATTTTTCTCGAAAGCAGAAGTATTTTAGGGACTAAATTTTCTATAGTGCTTATAAAACATCCACAGGGACATCCAAATATATCAAAATAGTAAAGAATCACTATCCACCCAATTTTAAAATTTCCCACAACTTTGTATTATCTTTAAACCTGAGTTTTCTTTCTGTGATTGATCGATTAATTGGTTGGTAGATTGGTTGATTGGGTGGTCGGGTGAAGGTAGCGAGGGGCTCGAGCACTCTAAAACACTTTCGCATGCATTAAACTTATATATTCCAATCTGTTTCATACTTGCCAATCCATGAATATTTCTTACAACGTTAAACGATTAACAGTTTGCAAGGGTGAAAGGAAGTGGTGACATTACACAATGCGCTACATGACTTATGAGGAAGTTTCAATAGCTGTGATAACAAACATACCGGTGAAAAGCTCGGCATGAATCCATTTGATATTGATGTTTTTATCTATCATGTCTATTAATGGTACTATGTCCCATTTTGCAGGCCCAAAAAATGAAAAGGTTAAATTCCAACGGCATTTGAAAGATAATACTAATTTAGAACTTCCCTTAAAAAAAAGGGGGGAGGGGCTTGAAAATGTCTTTAAATTGGAAAATAACGACTATTAGTTGTTAAGAGCTATAGAGCCAGTAAGAAATGGTCTGATTTTCAGACCATTGTACCGAATGATCGTACGTTTTATGCTGCGCAAAGATTCAATCAGTTTAATTTTGGCCATTACAAGCAGAAGTGGGATATTGATGTAGACAAATGCTCATATACCCTTTACAGCTCATGTTATGTATGTTATTGCCAAAGAAGGAAAAGGGCCAGTCAGTCACTCACTCAATAGTGTCTGACAGTGAAGTCTAGCAAGTAAACGGGTTTCCTTGCATAATTTGAATATTAGGACACTGCTAACGTTTAAATTTCACAGATAGGACAAACATGACATATTCATAATTCCTGCAAAGTTCTACAGAATTTGATGTTGGCTGCAAAAGGGACATAGTATCTTTAAAGGCACAGTCTTTACAAAAAAAAGATAACTTCTTCTCGTTAATAAAGATAGGAAAAGTTGTTATATAATGTTATCTCCCTTTGCATCGGATAAACTCTAGGGAATCTAAAGCTTGGTCCAAACTTGTCAACTGTTAATCATGATGTTTCGAACAATAAGGGCATTCTAATAGCAAAATTTAATGAGTCATTTATTCTAATACATTCTTTCAAACTGAGGTACACGATAATTTTCACTTTCATCAGATCCAAACTTTCCCTTTAAAGTCACGATGTCGCAATCGACTGCAACTGCAGTCACTGACGTAACAAATCGTTGCAATAAAGACACCTTTCCGGGGCGAGATCACAGTGTATTGCGAAATAATATTTGAAGCCCCTGGAGGTACATCATATACGAACACTTCTGATTGGTCGATGGAATAAAGATGCGGGCTCTGATTGGACATGCGAGGTAATAGTTCTTCGGAAGTGGGCGTGGTGGAATTGGATGCACCTTGCCTTGATGCCCTATATAAAGACATCCATAGTGATATAAGGTGGGGTTTTCCATGATCTGTTCAAATACATAACAATCGCAAGGGTCATTGGCATCTGTAATGTATGTGTGATTGTTTGTGGGTTTTCCCAGCGTATATTCAAGGCAGAGTCGATGCATCTTGGAATGTTAGACATGTTATCATGCAACACGGGTTGTAGAATGCTTGGGGTGCTTTGTCCTGTTAGAATCAGAGAAACATGCTGTATTCAGCTATTTGTCTTCTCTGCATGTACAAACAAAATTATAACAATAAATATAACATCAATAGGGGCGCTTTATATTAGTTTGGATTATGTTTTAATCATCTCGGGATAACGCAAGGCAATAATAGTGGCTAGGAATTCGTTTGTTTTGAAAGCAATGATTGCCACCGGCATGCCCGGGATTAACTTCGTTAACTAGGTTATTGTCGAGTTTAGTGTAACTGAATTAGTTCGAATGCCCCTTGCACTGTATGGTACATGTCTTATTATGGTTTCAATCAATTGATATGGTATTTTATTATGAGAAATTACAACAATTCAAATCTGTATTCCCCCTTTAACATTTCCCAATCTACGAGTATCATGAAGTGGATTCAATAACATGTATGATCATGCCTGGTAAATTCCCTTATCTACGAACTTGATTAAATCAACAGCGAAGGGTGTGAACATTTTTATTGTTACAAGTAAACTATTTCTAGCCCCATATTAGAGCAGCTGACGATGACGAAGCTTTTTTGCCCTTGGAGATAAATCGTTTCTGATTGGTCGATTATACGACCGACGGGGTCTCTGATTGGCCAAGTAAAGCTAGGATTCCCAAAGAGTGGGTGTGGCTCCATTAATTTGATGCCTATAAAAATACGCGTCTGCGTCTTGGACCCCATTATCTAGCTGAAAAGTCACTGAGTCCCTTAAGAGCATTGTCAAGGAGCCATTCTACATAATGCATTCAGCATTAAATTCTTTCATTTTGAAAAACAGAAGTCTTGATAGATTTCATTCGGCATCATCTGAAGAAGATTGTCTGCACAGGTAAGAGTACATTTTATTGCTCATAATTTAATACCAGGGCGCATGCATGACTCCCATGACCCCTCGAGCTCGGAGTAGGCTAAATTCTAACGCTAACTTAAAACTGCTGCATTACAGGTAATTATTTATTACGCGAACCCTAGTCTACTCGTTATTTTCCATGTTTTTAAAAGAATAGCAGCCGTCCTAAATTATTTGCAAAGTTCCCCAAAGTTTTTTTTGGCCAAATGATGATTTTTGGAGCAGTTCTGGTGCACTCTACTTTTGATGTTGCTCGCCGAACTACTACATTTCTTTCTTAAGATCCTTTGTTCCATGAAATAACATTTCCATAATTTTAAATTTTGTATTAATTTTTAAAATGTGCACCAAACGAGGCATTAAAAATGACGATACGAAGAAAAATGTAGTAAGGACATATACCCTTAAAGTGTAAAAATGTACACGATAACAGTGCGAATTGGATCGCGATGCAAAGATTGATTTTTGGGGTGGCGACCATTCATACACAATTACTCGCTCCACGGCGAAAAACGTCCGAACTGCGTATGCTTGAATCTCGACGATGTATGCGCGCTTGGAATCCTGTGATTAAATAAATCGACTTTTGATTCTCAATACCATTCATAGAAAGTATCGCGAATATATTGAAAAAATCGCAAGACTAACTGCGAATTGGAATCGCGATGCGAATCGCAAAGATAAGTGAAATTATCTGTCCACACACGCACAAAAAAAAAAAAAAGATTTTCGATTCCCCCCCCCCCCCCCACTTTTTTTCACTTTTTTTCTGTGGGTGTAAACGCCCCTTATTGTTTGATCTCAAACGAATTCTTGTTTATAAACCACATGATTACGTACTAAAAATCTGTGCAATATTAACAAATAAATCACGTCAACTTTCCCTCCTTTCGTTTGACAGATACAATATGTCACCAAACAAGCCCTCCTCTCGGACGAGTGGTTCTGGACCTAGCCGTAATGACGGCGGTGGAGGCGAGGAGTAGATCCGCTGGCTAAACCTTCTACATGCACCGGTCCAGAGATCTAGCTATGTCGTTTATCGAGGCCAACTTGTAGCTGTAGCGACGGACAGACGGTCAGACGGAAAGAAGCCAGCAAGATGTCTACGATTTGTTACTTAAGCTATTGTTTTAAAATAACATTTCAGATTTATATTTCATGTTTAAATTTTGTTGAGGGAAAAATAGTTTGGAATCCCTCTTGAGGGAAAAATAATTTGGAATCCCTGTGGATCAAAGTCAACTTCTGTTGAAAGGGCCCATCCACCCAATATGTTGGTAATAAATAAATAAATAACATTACTTTGATTCTTTTAAAGAGTGTATATTCATGAAATTGTAAGACGTGGGTATCAATGCATATTATATCGAATACAAAGGCGAATTGTACTTGTGATAATTTGTTTCTCAAAAATTCTGAATTAATTTAAGGAGCTGGAACTCCAATACCATGATACAACGAATTTGTCAACATGTGAAGTGCGACTAAAAAATGCCTCGAAAAAATTAGATGAATGTCTGTTTTATTTTCTTTAAACCTATTTTTTTATTGATTGATTGGCTGATTAATTTGATTGATTGGTAGGTAGCTTGGTTGATTTTTTCGTTTCATTGATAATTGGGTGGTTGGGTTTTTGTATTGACTGACTGACTGATTGATCGATTGGTTGGTTGATTTTGTTGTTGATTGGTAGTTTGTTTTATAGATTGAATTTTCGACTGATTAGTTAGTTGTTGTTGGGTTGTTTACTAACTAAATGATTCCTTGATTCCTTGATTGATTGATTGATTGATTGAATGAATGATCGGTTGGTTTGTTGGTTGTTTGGATGATTTATTTATTGATTGATCAATTATTTGATAGATTATATTTCCGATTGATTTGTTTGTTGGTTTGTTAGATTGAATTTTCGATTGGTTGGTTGATTGGTTCGTTTGCTGGTTTCTTTCTTGCTTGTAGCAGTGTTCCATGATAAGGACTGTTCACGAAGTTCTGATGTTCTTACATAACAATTTAGAACTGTAATTGAACCAAATTTTTTTAATCAATTTTTACGTAGTCCCATAAACTATTTAATAAATTTTGTCTATCATCCAAATTTCATTTTAGATACAATGATTATTCAGGGTAGTAATAATGATTGATAAATACTATATAATTTAGAAATAAACTTTAAAGCAGCCCCCTCCCCCTCCCAAAAAAAAAAGAATAACGAGGGCCTAAGGTGGCGAGGGGCTCGAGCACTCTAAAATTACATTCGCATATTAGTAGAACATTTCTTGCAACGTTAAACGATTTACAGTTTATTAAAAAAAAATCTTAGAACCAATAGATTTTTATTCAAGGGAGAAATGGAAGTGGTGACGTTAAACAATGCGCTACATGTGATGAGGAATTTTTCAATTTAATAAGTTTCAATGGCTGTGATAACAAACGTGCCGTAAATCGGCTTGACATGAATCCACTTGATATTGATGTTATGTAACATTTTTAGTACAAGAACATTTTGTCCGTTCTTTTTTCTTCATCATTTATTAATTGAATAATGATTACAACGAAAACGCATTATTACAAAGATTACAAAGAAAAATACATGAATTATATAGCAAAACATTAACTATACGTCTTTTCAACATAATTTAATTTTTTTCTCCAGAGTTGATACTTTTCAACATATTATTTCTTTGAACAGAAGTTCGAATATGTTGTAAAATTACTTTTTTGTTGTTGTGTACATGTATATACAACTTAAGACTAAGCTACAGACTGATTAATACATTTTTTAAAACTATATATTTTGAATTTATATCACATTGCCTGCCTAAAATCATATCACTGTAATCTATGTTTTCATTATCAAACAATACTTTTGCTTTTCTTTGAGAAAAATTTAGACCTAGTTCCAAAATAATCACAATCATGAAATAAATGATAATAACCTACAAATATTTGGTAATTTTGAACCAGCCGTTGAAAAATAATAAAAAATTATTAATTAATTAACGGTCACCGTATTTCTGTTAAAGTGGAGCTGAATTGGTATGATCGTGTTTGATTGTATTTGGTCTAAAATTAACTTCGCAGTAATTTTAGGTCCTAAAAGGGCACTAGAAATGTCAAAAATAAAAAATAATAGCAATAACCATGCAATTTGAAGACACATGCCGTCTTAAACAAGAACTCAACTATCCCTTTAAATTCGCGATGTCGCAATCGACTGCAATTGCAGTCACTGACGTAACGAACGTTGCAATGAAAACACCTTGTCGAAGGAGAGATCACAGTGCATTGCGAAATAATATTTGAAGCCCCTGGTGGTTCATTATATACGGACACTTTTGATTGACTGATGGAATAAACACAATTGTTTTTCTTGCGTTCTAATGAAGGAACGTTACAAAAAATGGATCATTTCTTGTCATAAATTAAGAGAGGAAAAGAAAGTGAATAATTTTATCTCCCTTCACATCGGATAAAATGTAGGGAATCTAAAGCTTGGTCCGAACATTTCAGCTGTTTCAGATCATGTTTCGAACAAGAAGGACATCAGAAGGGGCAATATTTAATGGGGTTTTTATTCTAATTCACTCTTCCAAACTGAGGTAGCAATAATGAGAAAGCTCACAATTTGATTCCCTCTTCACCAGATTCCAACTTCTCTTTAAGCTCACATTGTCGCAATCGACTGCAACTGCAGTCACTGACGTAATAAAATGTTGCAATAAAGACATCTTACCAATGCGAGATCACAGTCCATTGCGAAATAATATTTGAAGGACGGTAAAATCCAGATACAATCTCGCTAGAATAATTCTCAGGATATCCATTTAGGAAAAGAAGGTAAATAATGTTATCTCCCTTTGCATCGGATAAATGTAGGGAAACTAAAGCTTGGTCCAAACTTTTCAGCTGTTTCCGATCATGTTTCGAACAAGGAGGGCATCAGAAGGGGCAGTATTTAATGGGGCTTGTATTCTAATACACTCTTCCAAGCTGAGGTAGCAATAATGACCTCCAGGGACGTCGCCAAAGGGGGGGTGGGGGTGCGACACCCCTCCACCTGTCAGGATATTGTCGGTAAAATTGCGCTGCCGTCGGGAAAAAATAGAAAAGGGGGAGGGAAAAAGAGAGGGAAAGGAAAAGAAATAAGAAAAGGAAAAGAAAAGAAAGAAAGGAAGAGAAAGGAAAGAAAGGAAAAGAAAGGAAAAGAAAGGAAAGAAAAGAGAAGAAAGAAAGAGAAAAAAGAAAAAGAGGGAGGAGAGGAAAGAAAGGAAAATAAAGAAAAGGGGAAAAAAGAGAGTAAAAGGGAAACGAAAGAAACGGGGGTGAAAGAGAGGGGAGAGAGGAGGAGTGGGAGTAAAAGAGAGAAGGGGGTTGTTGGGTGGAGTCGTCTCGTCCAGGGAGCAAGAAAGACACGGGCAAATATGTTGCTATGTCGGGTCAGCTGTGTCGGTATTCTTGCTCGATCCTCGTGTACTTTATCTATGCAGAAGTTTGAAGTCGGTGAGATGTATATTGTCGGTCGGCCGACAAGTTTTTTTTCACTTTCGGCGTACTGTGACTTTTTATCCACTGTGACGACTTCAAGAGTGACTACAACTACAATACTTGTATTTTCTCGAAGTTTCACTTTCCTATAATATCAGGTAAAGAAATCAGAGGTTTAAAATTTTCGGGGAAACTAAATTCAAACAATGTTTAGGAGTCAACAACGGTACGACGAATCGTCTTTCTTTCTCTATAAATTATTGTGATGAAACGCCCCCAAAAAATCCGCGCTTCGCTCGGAAGGGGAAAACTGAATTCAGACAAATAGGGCTTATTAAGAGTCGAAAACGGTACAACGAATCGTCTTCTTTCTCTAATAATGTAATAAAACGTCAAAGCTTCCGCGCTTTGCGCGAGAGGAGGAGAAACTGAATTCAGAGAATTAGGGCTAATTAAGAGTCGAAAATGGTACAACGAATCATCTTCTTTCTCCAATAATTAAATGAAACATCAAAATTTCGGCGCTTCGCGCGGGAAGGGGGGAAGCTTTATTACGAACAAGGATTAGGATCCGATCATGGTTCAACGAATCGTCTACTTTCTCTAATAATTTAATGAAACGCCAAACCCTCCGCGCTTCGCGCGGAAGGGGGACAACTGAATTCAAAAAAGGATTAACAGTCGAAAACAGTACACCAAATAGGGCTTATTAAGAGTCGAAAACGGTACAAACGAACCTTCTTCTTTCTCTAATAATTTAATGAAACGTCAAAGCTTCCGCGCTTCGCGCGATGGGGGAAACTGAATTCAGACAATTAGGGCTTATTAAGAGTCGAAAACGGTACAGCGAATCGTCTTCTTTCTCTAAGAATTTAATGAAACGACATAACTTCCGCGCTTTGCGCGAGAGGAGGAGAAACTGAATTCAGAAAAGGATTAACAGTCGAGAACGGTACAGCAATTAAATCGTCTTCTTTTCATAATAAATTAATAAAACGTCAAAGCGTTCGCACTTCGCGCGGGAGGGGGGAACCTCATTTAGACGAGTCGAGAACGGTACAACGAATCGTCTTCTTTCTCTAATATTTTAAGGAAACGTCAAAGCTTCCGCGCTTCGCGCTAAAGGGGGAAATTGAATTCAGACAATTAGGGCTTATTAAGAGTCGAAAACGGTACAAACGAATCGCCTTCTTTCTCTAATAATTTAATGAAACGTCAAAGCTTCCGCGCTTCGCGCGAAAGGGGGAAACTGAATTCAGATGAATAGGGAGTAGAGTCGAAAACGGTACGACGAATCGTCTTCCTTTCTCTACGCCCAAAATTCCGCGCGAAGGGAGGAAACTTCATTTAGACGAGTCCAGAACGGTACAACGAATCGTCTTCTTTCTCAAATAATTTAATGTAACGTCAAAATTTCCGCGCTTTGCGCGGAGGGGAAAGCTTTATTCAGACAAGGATTAGATGATTAGAAATAATGAGAAAGCTCACAATTTGATATTCCCCCTTCACCAGATCCCAACCTCCTCTTTAAAGTCGCGATGTCGCAGTCGACTGCAACTGCAGTCACTGACGTAACAAATCGTTGCAATAAAGACACCTTTCCAGGGCCAGATCACAGTGCATTGCGAAATAATATTTGAAGTCCCTGAGGGTATATTATATAGGGACACTTCTGATTGGTCAATAGAATAGAGACGCGGGCTCTGATTGGACAGGCGAGGTAATAAGTTCTCCGGAAGTGCATGGGCGTAGGGTAATTAATGCATCTCGTCTTGTTGCCCTATATAAAGATATCATTAGTAATATATCTTCAATTTTGGGGGAAACGAAACACTTTTATAGATGCATTTGTTCATCGATTTCTATTTCAATTTGAAACATAAGAGTCTTGATAGACTTCTTTTGGCATCATCTGGAGCAAATTGTATGCACAGGTAAGAGAATATCAATGCATTCTTTTTCATTTTGTATTCATATAGGCGAAGTGAAATCATTTCTTGTTACCCGTGAAGATAAGTCGACCTTTGATGAAGAGACTTACCATTTTATTTCATATTTCATATTTCCCTGAAATTGGGGCAGTCTTTTCAATAATGGTATAAATGATCTATGAAATAGAAAGTGATAGAATAGCCTTATCTTTAGGGTTCTAGTATCTTGTATCTAGTACACTGAATTTAAACTCTGTATGAAGTGTCTATTATTAGAAAGACGCCATAATTCGTTTTCATCCTATAAATCAAAGCAATTTCATTTATCTTTTATTTATCATTGATTACACACTATCTCATCAATAAATTTTAATAGATTTTTACTCCAGAAATTTGAGTTTTATCAATTATAAATTTGAAAAAATTGTTGTTTTTTATTTTATTTTTTATATTATTATTTTGTTGTTGTTGATTGACTGAGCAATCATAGAATCACTAACTACCAAAACCATTGATAATGATGTTATTTTTTACTCCTATCAACAAAGGCCATTTTTTAGAGCTTGTAACTTAAAATTACTTTCAATAAGTATTGTGATGTGATTTTGAATTTAGATACAATCTCCCTAAAATGATTCTCAGAATACCATTTTTTTTAAAATAAATCAAGGGTATTTTTAGCTTACTAATATGTTGAAAGCAAATATCAATAGAAAAATTACAGAAAGGTAATGATTATTACGAAAAAATATGAACCTTAATTGGAGTTAGATAAAATGACATATTCTTTTTGTCACAAAATAAATTGTAAAAGTGGGACTTAGAACCTTTAACGGGCAGTTTGAATGTAGGCCTATATGATGACAATGCAGTTAACCTTGTAGCCATAAACTATTTGTACACTGTCGCTCATAAAGGTGGAATATTTTAGTTTTATCCAAATTTATGGAATTATTTTTAAAATAATTTAAAAATAATAGATCTAGATAATAGTATACATTCTCAGATTTTATTGAACGATAATTTGCCAATGTGTGTTTTGTGTGACTGCTAAAGCATGTGTATGCTACTATGCTTATCAACTAGGGGACCTATGCCCTTAAGTCATAAATGACAGTAATGAGGATTAATGCCCCACAAAAGGGCACTAACATAGCACATCGATACGGTTTTGATCCTGGGGCCTCACAGTTAGGAGGCCATTGCTTTGTCACTGAACCATGACTGTACGCAACGGGGGATAGGGTAGGGGGCAGTTTCCATAAATAAATTTTAAAAAACATAGAAAATGCAATAAATTTTCAATAATTTATTGCATTTTACCCCGGTTCCCAACATAAACAAATCTTCTGTGTGCCCATGCCCTGAGCCATAATGCATGGCCGTCCTCATTACTGTCATTTATGACTTAAAGGTAAAGACCAGTTATGGTCATGCGATTGTATTGTGAAAGAAACGTTGTGGAATCGATCAGAAAAGGATGATCATCTAGCATCTAGCATCTGCAAGGTTCTGGAATCATCAAAATGATAAAAAATTTGGCCCATTCTTCGTAAAGTTACAAGCACTATACACAGAAAGATGTATATGGGACTACCCTATATGTCTCACAGACCATGAGAGAAACAAATTTACTAAATATATGAATTAGTAGGCGATTTCCCGGCAAATTTTTTATCACCATGTATTAGTCAAAACATATTCTTTCACATGATTGGTAATGAGAGCTTCCATTTCATTTTTTGAAATTGGGGCGTTTCCAATACTGGTCTTTACCTTCAAGGGCATAGGTCCCCTAGTTGATAAGCATAGTAGCATACACATGCTTTAGCAGTCCCGCAAAACACACATTGGCAAATTATTATTCAATACAATCTGAGAATGTATACTATTATCTAGATCTATTATTTTTAAATTATTTCTAATATTTCCATAAATTAGGGTAAAACTAAAATATTCCACCTTTATGAGCGACAGTGTATTTGTTGTCTTTACTTGCTTAAAAGACTTAACAGACAGTTCTCACTACCTCTCTTTCCCATCCCCTCTTCTTTGAAGCTTGCTTCGAATCATCGCGTCATCGCGTCGGGTCGGGTGGTCGCGTTACGTGATCTTCCGCTTTCGTTTCACAAAGTCGTGTAACGCGACCACCCGACCGGACGTGATGACCCGATGGTTCGAAGTGAGCCCTTCTCTTACAACCTCATTCTGTAATCGCTTCATCTTCTACTTTCTCATCCTATACAATCGTCTCATCACTACATGCTCCCTTGTCCTCCATTCCTTCTCTCTCCCTCCTAGCACACTTAAAGATTATGATAAATCTGGGTCCACAACCATAACTTCTGGCTGTTACTTGTCATATTTCAAATATGAGAGCATTTTAAGAGTAATCCTTTGAAGGGGGTATTTTTCTATGATGCTCTTACACACTAACAATCAAAAAAAGAATATAAAGATTTAACAAATATGTTTTCACATTTCCTTCAAATCAACCTTCTCTTTAATTTTTTTTTCCTCGGTACGCCCCTCATCCCCAGTTACGTTACGCGTACATCACTTTGCTCGCCAATATTAATTTTGTACGGTCTCTAATTTTCCTTTAATGAATGTAAGACGTGTTTTCTACAATTTTGCAACTTGTACAGATACAATATGTCTTCGAGTCAGCCTGAATCACAGGTGAGAGCTGGAGCCGACCGCATGGGCTACGGACCCGATGGAATTAGGCCTGGTTCTGCAGCAGCTGATCATATGTCCTCAGAAGCAAAACTGCATGGTGGCAAAATCCCATCAGGAAGCCCGGTCTCTCATATGCAGTCCTCCGGGAGCAAGGGCCAAAGCTCTAAAGGCGGAAGCAAGGGCCAAATCACAGAAAGGTAACGATTATCACGAAAACTTATGAACCTATATTTGAGTTAGATAAAGACATATTCTTTTTGTCACAAAATAAATGTTTTAAGTAGGACTTAGAACCTTTAACGGGCAGTTTGAATGTATATGATGACAATGCAGTTTTTAACCTTGTAGCCATAAACTATTTGAATTTGTTGTTTTTTCTTGCATAAAAGACATGTATATCTCAGTTCTCACTACCTGTCTTTCCCATCCCCTCTTCTTTGAAGCTTGCTTCGAATCATCGCGTCATCGCGTCGGGTGGTCGCGCTACGTGATCTTCCGCTTTCGTTTCACAAAGTCGTGTAACGCGACCACCCGACCGGACGTGATGACCCGATGGTTCAAAGTGAGCCCTTCTCTTACAACCTCATTCTCTAATCGCTTCATCTCCTGCTTTCTCACCCTATACAATCGTCTCATCACTACATGCTCCCATGTCCTCCATTTCTTCTCTCTCCCTCCTAGCACTCTTAAAGATGAACAATGATAAATCTGGGTCCACAACCATAATTTATAGCTGTTCCTTGTCATATTTCAAATATGAGAGCATTTTAAGAGTAATCCTTTGAAGAGGGTATTTTTTCTATGATGCTCTTACACACTAACATATCAAAAAGAATATAAAGATTAAACAAATATGTGTTCACATATCCTAGAAATTAACCTTTTCTTTAAAATGTTTTCCTCTGTATGCTCCTCACCCCTAATTACGTTACGTCTACATCACTTTGCCTACATTGATTTTGTACGGTCTCTGATTTTCCTTTTATGAGTGTTTTCTACAACTTTGCAACTTGTACAGACACAATAAGTCTTCGAGTCAGCCTGAATCACAGGTGAGAGCTGGAGCCGACCGCATGGGCTACGGACCCAGTGGAATTAGACCTGGTACTGCAGCAGCTAATCATATGTCCTCGGAAGCAAAAAGGCATGGTGGCAAAGTCCCAGCGGGAAGCCCGGTTTCAAAGATGCAGTCCTCCGGGAGCAAGGACCAAAGCTCTAAAGGCGGAAGCAAGGGCCAAAGCTCTAAAGGCGGAAGCAAGGGCCAAAGCTCTAAAGGCGGCGGCGGTGGCGGACGTAGGAAGTAGACTGGACATTCGGGACCGGTCAAGATATCAATGGTTGATCGAGGCGAACTAAATAGTCATTAAAAAAACATTATTGACGTACAATTATTATTTTGATTCCAATTTTATCCCATCATGCCTGTACCCATGTTAAGTAGCATAAGCCTAGTAGGTGTGGGGTGGAGGGGTTCAAGGAGGACCAGCTAGCTCCTCCATTGATTGTTGACGACTAAACATATATCTACATTTGCTGGCTGTATCTGACGTGCATGTCACCCACGTTCGGTCTTCGCCGCCTTATAAAAAAAGACTCATATGATTGACGCCTCGGAGTAGGCTAAGTCTAACGCTAATAAAAATTGCATTTAAAGGAGGTAATTTTTATTCAAGGAACTCCAGTCTACTCATAATTTTCCCTGAATTTTAAAGGAATAAAAGTAGCCTTTAAAAATTTGCAAAGTTTCCCCAAGTTTTCATTGGCCAAATGATAGCAAAGGTGATGATGATGATGATGATGATGATGATAATGATGATTTATTGTGCAGTGCTCTACTTTCAATGTTGCTCGCCGAAAAATTTAATTTCTTTCTTATTATCCTTCGTTTCATGATGTTTTTCTTTCTAGAACGTTGTCATTTCGAAAAGTGCACCAATTGCGGCATTATAAATGACGGCACGGAGGCCAAATACCCTTTAATTTCCAATATCAAAATATGTCTTTCAATGTGCAAAAACAAGTATATGTATTCGTATTCGTGTAAAATGTAAACGATAAGGCCTACAGCTATTGTGTAATTGTAGTAATGACGTTTAATTGGTCCTTCATTTAATATTAAAATATGACCTTTAATATACAGTACAAATTGTTTCATCCTTACCCTGTCTGTTTGATTTAATTCTAATAAAATGTCCGCAAATTTGAAAAACACTTGTTATCATGTACAAAACCATGCGATTGGGCCTACCCATTTGTAAAGAGTAAAAGATTAGAATGAACAAAAAAGAAAATTGTTTGGTTAATCAGTTATTTCGTTTGTCCGTTCTAGTTGCCCGTAACGAATCAAATAACTTCAATTTCCTCCCTCTCTCTCAATTTTTTTAAATTTCATCTGTCAATGAGTATCTGTAATTGTCTAATATTCTACATTAAAAAGCCTCGAATGAAAGAAAACACATTATAGCCTATTGATTATCATTTCAATATGTAATTTTTTTTCGTGAATTGTGAATTGCCTCAATGCGGATCATCCAATGGTTGATTGGTTTGCATTGTGATTTCTTGACTGAAATATTTATTGATTGAATGACTGAAAGGTTGATTGAGTGAGTGATTGAGAACAACTATTTCCTTCAATACAAGCTGGACAAATACAGGACTGAAACATATTCTATAACGCCACCCCTTGGACAGTGGTGGATCCAGGGGTCCGCCTTGAGAAAAAAAATAATGTAAGAACACGTGATTTTTACCTTTTTGGGGGGTTGGGACCCCCCCCCCCAAAAAAAAAAAAAAAATGTGCTCACTATCCCCCCCCCCCCCCCCCCCCAACTGAGCGACTTTTCGGCCAGCACGATTTTCAAATTTTCGGACCAAAAAAAAATAATTAATTGCAATTTGCCCCGACCCATAACATAAACAAATCCTCTATGTGGGCATGCCTTGAACCATAATGCATGTCCCTACAGAGGAATTTTACCTATTGGGGGCCGGGGGTAAATGCAATGAATTATTTGTCATTTATTCCATTTTCTTTCCTTTTTTTTTGGTGGTATTTGTGGGGGCGGCGACGTACAGTGTACCCTAGCCCCCGCTGTGTACAGTTATGATTCAGTTGCTTAGCAATGGCCTCGTTACTGTGAGGCCCCATAATAAAAACCGTGTCGATCAGCTATATTAGTGCCTTTTTGGGAGGCATTAATCCTCATTACTGTCAGTTATGACTTAAGGGCGTAGGTCCCCTAGTTGATTAGCACAGTAGCACACACATGCTTTATTAGTCAAGCAAAACAAACACTCGCGAATTATTATTCAATAAAATCGGAGAATGTATTTATTACTATAAGGAATAATCATTGTCAAAAATCGTTCCATAAATTGGGGTAAAAATAATTATTCCACCAGGCGCGTGAGCATGGGGGGGGGTTGAACCCCCCCCCCTCCTTTTGTATTTTTTATGTGTGTATTTTGGAGGAAACACCCCCCACCCCTTTTGGTAATATTTTATTTTTTTTATTTTTTATTTAATTTTTTTTTTTTTATTAATGGCTGATCTAAAAAAAGTTTTTCCCTCGTAAATACGGATAAAAAACGTTGTTTATAATTTATCTCCCTTTGCATCGGATAAGCTATGGGAATTTAAAGTGTGGTCCAAACCTGTCAGCTGATTATCATGATGTTTTGAACAATAAGGGCATCCGAATAGCCAAATTTAATGAGACATTTATTCTTCCAAACTGACGTACACAAATAATTCCCAACCTTCTCTTTAAAGTCACGGTGTCGCAATCTATTGCAACTGCAGTCACTGACGTAACAAAATGTTGCAATAAAGACACCTTGCCAGGGCGAGATCACAGTGTATTGCGAAATAATATTTGAAGCCCCTGGGGTACATCATATACGAACACTTCTGATTGGTCGATGAAATAAAGACGCGGGCTCTGAATGGACAGGCGAGTTAATATTTCTCAGTAAGTGGGCGTGGTGAATTGGATGCACCTCGCCTTGATGCCCTATATAAAGACATCCATAGTGCAGTCAAGACAACATTTTGTATAGCTGAAAGAGGTCAGGGAATGTACGGCGGGTGTAGACACTTTGAAATTCTTACATATATTTTTACATCAATTTCTATTTCAACATGAAACAAAGCAGTCTTGGTAGACTTCTTTTGACATCATCTGGAGCAAATCGTCTGCACAGGTAAGAGAATATCTATGTATTTATTTTCATTGTTTTATCTTTATATCAGCAAAGTAAAATCATTTCTTTTTTCCCATGAAGATAAGACAACCTTTAATGAAGAGACTTTCCATTTATTTCATATTTCATATTGCCCTGAAATTGGGGTGGTCTTTTAATTAATGGTAAAAATGATTTATGAAATAGAAAGTGATGGAATAGCCCTATCTTTGGGTTCCAGTGGTTTATGACTGTATATAAAGGAGAATTAACCTCTAGACTATGAAGCATTAAGTAGAGAGTAAACCAACGTTTCATATGATGTAAAGAGCATTGCTTTAGGCCAAATAATATCGTCTTTCAAGTACAATATAAAAATCCTAGTTCGCCATATTTACGACATCGTCTGCTTCCCAAGGAAATTGTCATTTTGTCTTCCCTTCAAAAACTTCCGGGTTGTGACGTATATCGCACGGAGAACCGATGTAGCGCAGCGCGCACGTTATTATGCAATACACTTCAAACATGGTGTACTGCCAAATGTTTGGTTGTAATAAATGTTCCTCGAAAATCAAGAGGAAATCGTTTTATTGGTTTCCATAATCACACAATCGCGATGAAATATTCGAGATATGAGTAGTAGCTCTACGGTGGAGAAATATCTGGACAAAAAAGATTACGACAAGAAAAACAGTGTGATCTGCAGTGATCATTTTACATTTTACAGCAGGGAAACGTACGTACGCAATGGCGACTCCGTGCGATACGTCACAGAGCGCCGGGCGTGCGCAAACACAATGGCGACTTTCTAAAGATTCTCAGAGCCGCGAAAGACGAAGCCGATTCTGAAAAAAGTTACGTCCTCCCTTTCGTCAAATATACGATGTTTTTATATTTTTAAGATAATGTTTCAAATGGCCTACACACTGAAATGTAGTTTGAAGTTAAATCTCCTTTAACCTTCTCATAAAGAAAGTGTCTATATTTTTTAAATCCATAATTCGTTTTCATCCGGCGATAAAGCATAGCCACTTGATGTATCTTTTTTTTTCAGTACGGTGATTATATAATTTCTCATTATTCAATTTTTTAAAGAAATGTGAGTTTATTAGTTATCAAATATGTAAAATTATTTGTTTTAAATTGACGGAGCAAACATAGAAACCATTGAGAAAAAAGCTATTTCTTACTCTTGTCAACAAAGGCTAGTTTGTGGAGCTTATTTTCAATTATTTTGCAATAAGTGGTGGGGTGTGATTTTGCATCCAGATAAAATCTCGCAAAACTGATTCTCAGAATACCGATTTTTTTTTTTTTAAAGATCAAGGATATTTTATCTTACTGCAATAAAAAAAAATTAACACTAAGATATTAATAAGAACGAAAAGGTTTGATAAATATGTTTTCACATTTAATACCTAGAACTCAGCCTTCTAAAAATAAGTCTCTGTTTGCCCCCCCCCCCCCCCCCCAATTCAATTTTCATCATTTTGCCAACATGTGTACTTCTTTTTTTCAACAATTTTGAAACTTGTACAGATACAATATGTCTTCGAAACAGCCACCATCACAGGTGAGCGCTGGAGCCGACCGTTTGGGCTACAGTTCCGGTGGAATCAAGTCCGGTACGGCCGCAGCTGACCAAATGGCCAGCACTGCGAAGGATCACGGTGGCAAAGTCCCAGCAGGAAGCCCGGTCTCTCATATGCAGTCCTCCGGAAGCAAGGGCCAAAGCTCTAAAGGCGGAAGCAAGGGCCAAAGCTCTAAAGGCGGCGGCGGTGGCGGACGTAGGAAGTAGACTGGACATTCGGGACCGGTCAAGATAACAATGGTTGATCGAGGCGAACTAGATAGTCATTAAAAAAAAATATTGACGTATAATTATTATTTTGATTCCAATTTCATCCCATCATGCCTGTACCCATGTTAAGTAGCATAAGCCTAGTAGGTGTGGGGTGGAGGGGTTCAAGGAGGACCAGCTAGCTCCTCCATTGATTGTTGACGACTAAACATATATCTACATTTGCTGGCTGTATCTGACGTGCATGTCACCCACGTTCGGTCTTCGCCGCCTTATAAAAAAAAACCTCATATGATTGACGCCTCGGAGTAGGCTAAGTCTAACGCTAATAAAAATTGCATTTAAAGGAGGTAATTTTTATTCAAGGAACTCCAGTCTACTCATTATTTTCCCTGAATTTTAAAAGAATAAAAGTAGCCTTTAAAAATTTGCAAAGTTTCCCCAGGTTTTCATTGGCCAAATGATAGCAAAGGTGATGATGATGATGATGATGATGATGATAATGATGATTTATTGTGCAGTGCTCTACTTTCAATGTTGCTCGCCGAAAAATTTAATTTCTTTCTTATTATCCTTCGTTTCATGATGTTTTTCTTTCTAGAACGTTGTCATTTCGAAAAGTGCACCAATTGCGGCATTATAAATGACGGCACGGAGGCCAAATACCCTTGAATTTCCAATATCAAAGTATGTCTTTCAATGTGCAAAAACAAGTTTATGTATTCGTATTCGTGTAAAATGTAAACGATAAGGCCTACAGCTATTGTGTAATTGTAGTAATGACATGTAATTGGTCCTTTATTTAATATTAAAATATGACCTTTAATGTACAGTACAAATTGTTTCATCCTTACCCTGTCTGTTTGATTTAATTCTAATAAAATGTCCGCAAATTCGGAAAACACTTGTTATCATGTACAAAACCATGCGATTGGGCCTACCCATTTGTAAAGTGTAAAAGATTAGAATGAAAAAAAAAGAAAATTGTTTGGTTAATCAGTTATTTCGTTTGTCCGTTCTAGTTGCCCGTAACGAATCAAATACCTTTAATTTCCTCCCTCTCTCTCAATTTTTTTAAAATTTCATCTGTCAATGAGTATCTGTAATTGTCTAATATTCTACATTAAAAAGCCTCGAATGAAAGAAAATACATTATAGCCTATTGATTATCATTTCAATATGTAATTTTTTTTTGTGAATTGTGAATTGCCTCAATGCGGATCATCCAATGGTTGATTGGTTTGCATTGTGATTTTTTGACTGAAACATTTATTGATTGAATGATTGAAAGGTTGATTGAGTGAGTGATTGAGAACAACTATTTCCTTCAATACAAGCTGGACAAATACAGGACTGTAACATATTCTATAACGCCACCCCTTGGACAGTGGCGGTCCGCCTTGAGAAAAAAAATCATGTAAAAACACGTGATTTTTACCTTTTTTTGGGGGGGGGTTGGGATCCACCCGGTGGAATCAAGTCTGGTACGGCCGCAGCTGACCAAATGGCCTGCACTGCGAAGGATCACGGTGGCAATTAAGTACCAGCAGGAAGCCCGGTCTCTCATATGCAGTCCTCCGGAAGCAAGGGCCAAAGCTCTAAAGGCGGCGGCGGTGGCGGACGTAGGAAGTAGACTGGACATTCGGGACCGGTCAAGATATCAATGGTTGATCGAGGCGAACTAAATAGTCATTAAAAAAACATTGTTGACGTACAATTATTATTTTGATTCCAATTTTATCCCATCATGCCTGTACCCATGTTAAGTAGCATAAGCCTAGTAGGTGTGGGGTGGAGGGGTTCAAGGAGGACCAGCTAGCTCCTCCATTGATTGTTGACGACTCAACATATATCTACATTTGCTGGCTGTATCTGACGTGCATGTCAACCACGTTCGGTCTTCGCCGCCTTATAAAAAAAAACCTCATATGATTGACGCCTCGGAGTAGGCTAAGTCTAACGCTAATAAAAATTGCATTTAAAGGAGGTAATTTTTATTCAAGGAACTCCAGTCTACTCATTATTTTCCCTGAATTTTAAAAGAATAAAAGTAGCCTTTAAAAATTTGCAAAGTTTCCCCAGGTTTTCATTGGCCAAATGATAGCAAAGGTGATGATGATGATGATGATGATGATGATGATAATAATGATTTATTGTGCAGTGCTCTACTTTCAATGTTGCTCGCCGAAAAATTTAATTTATTTCTTATTATCCTTCGTTTCATGATGTTTTTCTTTCTAGAACGTTGTCATTTCGAAAAGTGCACCAATTGCGGCATTATAAATGACGGCACGGAGGCCAAATACCCTTGAATTTCCAATATCAAAGTATGTCTTTCAATGTGCAAAAACAAGTTTATGTATTCGTATTCGTGTAAAATGTAAACGATAAGGCCTACAGCTATTGTGTAATTGTAGTAATGACGTTTAATTGGTCCTTTATTTAATATTAAAATATGACCTTTAATGTACAGTACAAATTGTTTCCTCCTTACCCTGTCTGTTTGATTTAATTCTAATAAAATGTCCGCAAATTTGAAAAACACTTGTTATCATGTACAAAACCATGCGATTGGGCCTACCCATTTGTAAACTGTAAAAGATTAGAATGAACAAAAAAGAAAATTGTTTGGTTACTCAGTTATTTCGTTTGTCCGTTCTAGTTGCCCGTAACGAATCAAATACCTTCAATTTCCTCCCTCTCTCTCAATTTTTTTTAAATTTCATCTGTCAATGAGTATCTGTAATTGTCTAATATTCTATATTAAAAAGCCTCGAATGAAAGAAAACACATTATAGCCTATTGATTATCATTTCAATATGTAATTTTTTTTTGTGAATTGTGAATTGCCTCAATGCGGATCATCCAATGGTTGATTGGTTTGCATTGTGATTTTTTGACTGAAACATTTATTGATTAAATGATTGAAAGGTTGATTGAGTGAGTGATTGAGAACAACTATTTCCTTCAATACAAGCTGGACAAATACAGGACTGTAACATATTCTATAACGCCACCCCTTGGACAGTGGCGGATCCAGGGGTCCGCCTTGAGAAAAATAATCATGTAAAAACACGTGATTTTTACCTTTTTTTGGGGGGGGTTGGGATCCACCCGGTGGAATCAAGTCCGTTACGGCCGCAGCTGACCAAATGGCCTGCACTGCGAAGGATCACGGTGGCAAAGTCCCAGCAGGAAGCCCGGTCTCTCATGCAGTCCTCCGGAAGCAAGGGCCAAAGCTCTTAAGGCGGAAGCAAGGGCCAAAGCTCTAAAGGCGGCGGCGGTAGCGGACGTAGGAAGTAGACTGGACATTCGGGACCGGTCAAGATATCAATGGTTGATCGAGGCGAACTAAATGGTCATTAAAAAAACATTATTGACGTACAATTATTATTTTGATTCCAATTTTATCCCATCATGCCTGTACCCATGTTAAGTAGCATAAGCCTAGTAGGTGTGGGGTGGAGGGGTTCAAGGAGGACCAGCTAGCTCCTCCATTGATTGTTGACGACTAAACATATATCTACATTTGCTGGCTGTATCTGACGGTGCATGTCACCCACGTTCGGTCTTCGCCGCCTTATAAAAAAAACCCTCATATGATTGACGCCTCGGAGTAGGCTAAGTCTAACGCTAATAAAAATTGCATTTAAAGGAGGTAATTTTTATTCAAGGAACTCCAGTCTACTCATTATTTTCCCTGAATTTTAAAGGAATAAAAGTAACCTTTAAAAATTTGCAAAGTTTCCCCAGGTTTTCATTGGCCAAATGATAGCAAGGTGATGATGATGATGATGATGATGATGATGATGATAATGATGATTTATTGTGCAGTGCTCTACTTTCAACGTTGCTCGCCGAAAAATTTAATTTCTTTCTTATTATCCTTCGTTTCATGATGTTTTTCTTTCTAGAACGTTGTCATTTCGAAAAGTGCACCAATTGCGGCATTATAAATGACGGCACGGAGGCCAAATACCCTTTAATTTCCAATATCAAAGTATGTCTTTCAATGTGCAAAAACAAGTTTATGTATTCGTATTCGTGTAAAATGTAAACGATAAGGCCTACAGCTATTGTGTAATTGTAGTAATGACGTTTAATTGGTCCTTTATTTAATATTAAAATATGACCTTTAATGTACAGTACAAATTGTTTCATCCTTACCCTGTCTGTTTAATTTAATTCTAATAAAATGTCCGCAAATTTGAAAAACACTTGTTATCATGTACAAAACCATGCGATTGGGCCTACCCATTTGTAAACTGTAAAAGATTAGAATGAACAAAAAAGAAAATTGTTTGGTTACTCAGTTATTTCGTTTGTCCGTTCTAGTTGCCCGTAACGAATCAAATACCTTCAATTTCCTCCCTCTCTCTCTCATTTTTTTTTAAAATTTCATCTGTCAATGAGTATCTGTAATTGTCTAATATTCTACATTAAAAAGCCTCGAATGAAAAAAAAACACATTATAGCCTGTTGATTATCATTTCAATATGTAATTTTTTTGTGAATTGTGAATTGCCCCAATGCGGATCATCCAATGGTTGATTGGTTTGCATTGTGATTTTTTGACTGAAATATCTATTGATTGAATGATTGAAAGGTTGATTGAGTGAGTGATTGAGAACAACTATTTCCTTTAATACAAGCTGGACAAATACAGGACTGTAATATATTCTATAACGCCGCCCCTTGGACAATGGCGGATCCAGGGGTCCGCCTTGAGAAAAAAAATCATGTAAAAACACGTGATTTTTACCTTTTTGGGGGGTTGGGACCCACCCCCGGCGCTCAAGGGGGGGGGGGGGGGGAGGGTGCAAATTTTTAAATTTTCGACGACCCCCAAAAAAATGTGCTAACTACCCCCCCCCCCCCCCCCCCCACCCCCACCCCCACTGAGCGACTTTTCGGCCGGCACGATTTTCAAATTTTCGGACCAAAAAAAAAAAAAAAAAGTGTCCTCTTACCCCCCCCCCCCCCCCCAATTAAATTATCAATGATTAATTGCAATTTGCCCCGACCCATAACATAAACAAATCCTCTATGTGGGCATGCCTTGAACCATAATGCATGTCCCTACAGAGGAATTTTACCTATTGGGGGCCGGGGGAAAATGCAATGAATTATTTGTCATTTATTCCATTTTCTTTCCTTTTTTTTGTTTTGGTTTTTGTGGGGGCGGCGACGTACAGTGTACCCTAGCCCCCGCTGTGTACAGTTATGATTTAGTGGCTTAGCAATGGCCTCGTTACTGTGAGGCCCCATAATAAAAACCGTGTCGATCAGCTATATTACTGCCTTTTTGTGAGGCATTAATCCTCATTACTGTCAGTTATGACTTAAGGGCGTAGGTCCCCTAGTTGATTAGCATAGTAGCACACACATGGTTTATCAGTCAAGCAAAACAAACACTCGCGAATTATTATTCAATAAAATCTGAGAATGTATCTATTACTATTAGGAATAATCATTGTCAAAATCGTTCCATAAATTGGGGTAAAAATAATTATTCCACCCAGGCGCGTGAGCATGGGGAGGGGTTGAACCCCCCTCCCCTCCTTTGGTATTTTTTATGTGTGTATTTTTTAGGAAACCCCCCCCCCCCCTTTTGGTAATATATGTTTGTTTGTTTTTTTTTTATTTAAAAAAAAATTAAAAAATTAATGGCTGATTTTAAAAAAGTTGACCTTACCCCCCCCCAACGGAGACAAATGTCAAATTTCGAGACCCCCCTCCCCCCCCCCCAAAAAAAGTGTGCTCTTTCACCTTTTTGTTTGTCAATTATGTCAAAGATACTGTAAGAGCTGGAACCGCAATAAAATGAGACAACGAATTTGTAGACATGTGAAGTGCCTCGAATAAAAACGTTTGGGTGAATTTCAGTGTTATTTTCCTTAAACCTGAGTTTTCTTTCTGTAATTGATTGATTAATTGGTCGATAGATTGGTTAATTGGGTGGTTTGGTGAAGGTAGCGAGGCAGGCGCGGATCCAGGATTTTCCAATAAGGGGGGCCGGAAATTTGAAAATTGCGCAAACAGTTTTTCAACTCAACATACCAATACTGACAAGGTCATATTAGAAGCACTATACCGGTAATTTTTTTTTACATTTTCATCGGGGGGGGGGGGGGGGAGGGCTGAAGCCTCTTGCCCGAAAAGTAATTTTGTGGTTTCACAATTCGGCTAGTGAGCGAAGCGAGCGAGCAAAAATTTGAGGATAATATGTATTTTGTGAAAGTGTTATTTATCACCCAAATATACGAGAAAAGATATAACAAATTCATATTCGGGCAGCTCGCTGTCCTCGCTGTCCCCTCCCCCCTCCCCCCCCCCCCATTACGCGCGAAGCGCAGAAGCTTTAATGTTCATGAAATTATTAGAGAAAGAAGAGGATTCGTTGTACCGTTCTCGGTTAATTGTTAATCATTGTCTGAATTCAGTTTCCATACCCCCTCCCGCGCGAAGAGCGGAAGCTTTGACGTTTCATTTAATCATTAGAGAAAGAGTACCGTTCTCGACTCTTAATCCTTGTCTGAATTGAGTCCCCCCCCCCTCTCCCGCGTGAAGCGCAAAAGCTTAACGTTTCATTAAATTATTAGAGAAAGAAGACGATTCGTTGTACCGTTCTCGATTCCTAATCCTTGTCTGAATTGAGTTCCCCCCCCCCCCTCTCTCTCTCGCGAAGCGCAGAAGCTTTGACGTTTCATTAAATTATTGGAAAAAGAAGACGATTCGTTGTTCCGTTCTCGGTTCTTAATCATTGTCTGAATTCAGTTCCCCCCCCCCCCCTCCGCGCAAAGCGCGGAAGCTTTGACGTTTCATTGAATTATTAGAGAAAGAAGATGATTTGTTGTACCATTCTCGACTCTTATTCCTTGTCTGAATTCAGTTTTTCCCCTCCCGCGCGAAGCGCGGAAGCTTTGACCTTTCATAGTTTAATGAAATTATTAGAGAAAGAAGATAATTCGTTGTTCCATTCTCGACCCTCAATCCTCCTCTGAATTCAGATTACCCCCTCCAGCGCAAAGCGCAGAAGCTTAACGTTTCATTAAATTATTAGAGAAAGAAGACGATTCGTTGTACCGTTCTCGATTCTTAATCATTGTCTGAATTCCGTTTCCATACCCCCTCCCGCGCGAAGCGCGGAAGCTTTGACGTTTCATTAAATGATTAGAGAAAGAGTACCGTTCTCGACTCTTAATCCTTGTCTGAATTGAGTTCCCCCCCCCCCCTCTCCCGCGCAAAGCGCGGAAGCTTTGACGTTTCATTAAATTATTAGAGAAAGAAGACGATTCGTTGTACCGTTCTCGGTTGTTAATCATTGTCTGAAATCAGTTTCCACCATCCGCGCGAAGCGCGGAAGCTTCGACGTTTGATTGAATTATTAGAGAAAGAAGATGATTCGTTGTTTCATTCTCGACTCTAAATCCTTGTCTGAATTCAGTTTTCCTCCTCCCGCGCGTAGCGCGTAAGCTTCTGATGCTTCATTAAATTATGAGAGAAAGAAGATGATTCGTTGTCTCATTCTCGATTCTTAATCCTTGTTTGAATTCATTTTCCACCTTCCGCGCGAGGCGCGGAAGCTCTGACCTTTCATAGTTTTAATGAAATTATTAGAGAAAGAAGATAATTCGTTGTTCCATTCCCGACTCTTAATCCTTCTCTGAATTCAGTTTTCCCCTCCAGCGCAAAGCGCAGAAGCTTAAAGATAAACTTGAGTTCTGGTAAAAAAAAGAAAATGAATTCTCACAGAATCTAGCGAAACTAACACTGAATGTTCAAGATTACAAATAAATGTCATGTGCCAAACAATTTTGGAAGAAAATGTATACTGGCTGAGTAATGAGCATAGAAAGATAAGGAAATCGGGGTAGTACTGGCCCCGACACCATGTGCGTTGTCCCATGTACATCTTCCTGTGTAAGTGATTGTTACTTTACCAAGACTCTGCCAAATTTATGATGATTTTGATGACTATAGAACCTTGCATTACACACCATTACTTGCATGCTATATGATCAACTTTTCTGATCCATTCCACACTGTTTCTTTCAAAATGCAATCGTATTACCAGTACTCAAGTTTATCTTTAACGTTTCATTAAATTATTAGAGAAAGAAAATGATTTGTTGTACCGTTTTAGACTTGTCAAAAATGTTTCTTTGTCTGCTCCTTTTTTCGTCCTATGTCCTCTTACTGCCTCTACCGCCCCTAGCTACGCATGCTTTAAAAGGAAAATGAAACAATCATAATTGTGATAGCATACAATTAGGTCAGTAGAAATGAAAGGGGAAAAAGGATCTATGTATACACCAACCATGAAATAATCGCGACCCGGAGCGTCATATCTTATTTTTTGTGTTATCGGGCGAGGGCCGGAGCGGAGCGACCAAGCGAGATTTTGCAATGTATAATGCTAAAATGTTGCATTCTAGAAAATCCTTTAGTCCAATATGTACGTTCTTTCCGCTACATGTATATTTCTTTCTAGCTATATATCTAAATTTCCGGGGGACGTGTCTCTCTATCGGGCCCAGGATCGCCGCCGCTGTCCATTATCACTACCTACATGAGTTCAAATAGAAGCACAAGCGAGTTGGTATGAGCTGAATCCAAATGAAGGGCAAAATAAGAGTTGTGAAGCGGCCCTACCGTTAATTTAAAATTTGACTGTTTAGTATATAGCTTCTATTTGAAAGACATCCAATACATTGTGCCCTTTTCAATTTTTTTCAAAAAGCAGGGGCTGTTTGAACGTTTAACTTTGAATCCGTGGCTCGAGATTTTATGCGGCCGGCCCGGCCCCCTCTATTCAATAACGTTTCCCAAGTCTTCTGGAATGACCCCAAATCTCCGGATTACAGTTTTTCCCTTATTCGTCGTTACTGTCACTTAGCGCCATTTCCTTGTCTTTTCCCCTTTCTCACCCGACTTTTCTCTTCGCCTTCCCACCCCCCCCCCCCCCACCACTCAGTGTTATCTAGGGTATGCGCATGTATGTTCCCTCTCTTAGTTTGAAAGCACCCCTTTATCTTCGGTGTGTAGAGTCAGTGCGGGCCGGATTTGTGTGTATTACGGGCCGGACTTTGTTGCGTGAAAAGTAACCCTTTATCGGAAATTTTGGGAACACAAAATCGGTCCCTCCGACCCCGGAGTGGGAGTGAGGTGGGGGATCTTCTTCTTCTTTTTCTTTCTCTCTCTCTCTCTTCTTTCTTTTCTCTTCTCTTTTCTTTTCTCTTCTCCTTTCTTTTCTCTTCTCCTTTTTTTCTTCTCTTCTCCTTTCTTTTTTTTTTCTTTTTTTTTTGCGCCGCCAATAGGGGGGGCCGCGGCCGTTTCGGCCCCCCCCCCTGGATCCGCCACTGGCGAGGGGCTCGAGCACTCTAAAACACTTTCGCATGCATTGAACTTATATATTCCAATCTGTTCCATACTTTGCCCATCCCTGAATAATTCTTACAACGTTATACGATTCACAGTTCAAGTATCAAGTATCAAGTTTATTTGTCTTCCAGAAAACACATGTGACAAAATATAGTTTGGAAGGGATGAAAGGAAGTGGTGACGTTAAACAATGCACCGCATGACTGTGGTCAGGAAGTTTCAATAGCTGTAATAACAAACATACCGGTGAAAAGCTCGGCATGAATCCACATGATATTGATGTTTTATCTATCATGTCTATTAAAGGCACTTTACCAAAAAAGAGGTCTTTTTTTTCCCTCGTAAATACGGATAAAAAACGTTGTTTATAATTGTATCTCCCTTTGCATCGGATAAGCTATAGGGAATTTAAAGTGTGGTCCAAACCTGTCAGCTGATTATCATGATGTTTCGAACAATAAGGGCATCCGAATAGCCAAATTTAATGAGACATTTATTCTTCCAAACTGAGGTACACAAATAATTCCCAACCTTCTCTTTAAAGTCACGATGTCGCAATCTATTGCAACTGCAGTCACTGACGTAACGAAATGTTGCAATAAAGACACCTTGCCAGGGCGAGATCACAGTGTATTGCGAAATAATATTTGAAGCCCCTGGGTACATCATATACGAACACTTCTGATTGGTCGATGAAATAAAGACGCGGGCTCTGAATGGACAGGCGAGTTAATATTTCTCAGTAAGTGGGCGTGGTGAATTGGATGCACCTCGCCTTGATGCCCTATATAAAGACATCCATAGTGCAGTCAAGACAACATTTGGGTGGAGGAGGTCGGGGAACGTACGGCGGATGTAGACACTTTGAAATTCTTACATATATTTTTACATCAATTTCTATTTCAACATGAAACAAAGCAGTCTTGGTAGACTTCTTTTGACATCATCTGGAGCAAATCGTCTGCACAGGTAAGAGAATATCTATGTATTTATTTTCATTGTTTTATCTTTATATCAGCAAAGTAAAATCATTTCGTTTTTCCCATGAAGATAAGACAACCTTTAATGAAGAGACTTTCCATTTATTTCATATTTCATATTGCCCTGAAATTGGGGTGGTCTTTTAATTAATGGTAAAAATGATTTATGAAATAGAAAGTGATGGAATAGCCCTATCTTTGGGTTCCAGTGGTTTATGACTGTATATAAAGGAGAAGTAACCTCTAGACTATGAAGCATTAAGTAGAGAGTAAACCAACGTTTCATATGATGTAAAGAGCATTGCTTTAGGCCAAATAATATCGTCTTTCAAGTACAATATAAAAATCCTAGTTCGCCATATTTACGACATCGTCTGCTTCCCAAGGAAACTGTCATTTTGTCTTCCCTTCAAAAACTTCCGGGTTGTGACGTATATCGCACGGAGAACCGATGTAGCGCAGCGCGCACGATATTATGTAATACACTTCAAACATGGTGTACTGCCAAATGTTTGGTTGTAATAAATGTTCCTCGAAAATCAAGAGGAAATCGTTTTATCGGTTTCCATAATCACACAATCGCGATGAAATATTCGAGCTATGAGTAGTAGCTCTGCGGTGGAGAAATATCTGGACAAAAAAGATTACGACAAGAAAAACAGTGTGATCTGCAGTGATCATTTTACATTTTACAGCAGGGAAACGTACGTACGCAATGGCGACTCCGTGCGATACGTCACAGAGCGCCGGGCGTGCGCAAACACAATGGCGACTTTCTAAAGATTCTCAGAGCCGCGAAAGACGAAGCCGATTCTGAAAAAAGTTACGTCCTCCCTTTCGTCAAATATACGATGTTTTTATATTTTTAAGATAATGTTTCAAATGGCCTACACACTGAAATGTAGTTTGAAGTTAAATCTCCTTTAACCTTCTCATAAAGAAAGTGTCTATATTTTTTAAATCCATAATTCGTTTTCATCCGGCGATAAAGCATAGCCACTTGATGTATCTTTTTTTTCAGTACGGTGATTATATAATTTCTCATTATTCAATTTTTTAAAGAAATGTGAATTTATTAGTTATCAAATATGTAAAATTATTTGTTTTAAATTGACGGAGCAAACATAGAAACCATTGAGAAAAAAGCTATTTCTTACTCTTGTCAACTAGGGCTAGTTTGTGGAGCTTATTTTCAATTATTTTGCAATAAGTGGTGGGGTGTGATTTTGCATCCAGATAAAATCTCGCAAAACTGATTCTCAGAATACCGATTTTTTTTTAAATTTTTTTTAAAGATCAAGGATATTTTATCTTACTGCAATAAAAAAAAATTAACACTAAGATATTAATAAGAACGAAAAGGTTTGATAAATATGTTTTCACATTTAATACCTAGAACTCAGCCTTCTAAAAATAAGTCTCTGTTTGCCCCCCCCCCCCCCCCAATTCAATTTTCATCATTTTGCCAACATGTGTACTTCTTTTTTTCAACAATTTTGAAACTTGTACAGATACAATATGTCTTCGAAACAGCCACCATCACAGGTGAGCGCTGGAGCCAACCGTTTGGGCTACAGGCCCGGTGGAATCAAGTCCGGTACGGCCGCAGCTGACCAAATGGCCTGCACTACGTAGGATCACGGTGGCAAAGTTCCAGCGGGCAGCACGGTCTCTAAGATGCAGTCCGCGGGGAGCAAGGGCAACTACTTTAGAGGAGGCGCCAGCGGGCATAAGAAGTAGACTGGACATTCGGGACCAGTCTTGGAATCTAGTTGACCGAGGTCAACTTAATTGTAGTGACTGATACTTTTATCAAATAATTAATTTCGTTTGTCCATTCTAGTTTCCCGTAATAATAAGTCAAGTATCTTCAATTTCTACTAAATATTTTTTAACTATTATCTGTCAAAGAGTATTTGTGATTGTCTAACATTTTGCATTAAAAAGCCTTGGATAAAAAAGAAGATATCATGGCCTATTGATTATCAAAATGCAAATTGTAGTGACAAATTGTTCATTAAAATGCAAATTGTAGCGACAAATCGTTTATCAAAATGCAAATTGTAGCGACAAATTGTTTATCAATTAATTAATTTCGTTTTTCAATTTTAGTTTCCTGTAATAGTAAATCGAATATCTTCAACTTCTACTCTTTAAATTGTTTTGAAAACCATCTGTCGATGAGTATCTTTACTTCTCTAACATTCTACATTAAAAAGCCTCGGATAATAAAAAACAACATATCATGGCTTATTAAGTGCCTCAATTTTCATCATCTATTGGTTGATTGGTAAGCGTCGTGATTGTTTGACTGAAATATTGATTGAAAGATTGATTTGATTAATTAATTGAAAGGTTGATTGATTGCTTGAATGATTGAAAGATTGATTGAAAGATTGATTGATTGATTGATTGATTGATCGAAAAGTTGATTGGTTAATTAAAAGGTTGATTGATTGATTGAAAGGTTGATTGATTAATTGATTGCAAAGTTGATTGATTGATTGAAAGGTTGATTGGTTGATTGAAAGGTTGATTGCTTGATTAAAAGTTTGATTGATTAATTGATTGAAAGGTGGATTGATTGCTTGAATGAAGATGATTGAAAGATTGATTGATTGATTGAAAGATTGATTGATTGATTGAAAGGTTGATTGATTGATTGAAAGGTTGATTGAATAATTGATTGAAAGGTTGGTTGGTTGATTGAAAGAATGATGAATGGATTGATGGATGGATTGTTTAATAACTCATTGACTGCAATATTCATTGATTGGCGAATTGATTGGTGGATTGATTGATCGATTTATTTATTTATTGATAGTTAATGTGATTGTTCATTTTTTGATAATTGATTGACTGAGTGATTAATTGGCTGATTAATTGAATTGATTCATTCTTTGATAATTGATTGACTGATTGGCTACTGCGATTGTAGATTTATTCAGTTTTTATTGATTGAATTAACATGTACAATGAAACGGTTTTCCCCAAAGAATTAATAGATCTAGAGCACCTTCGAACATTACTCAGTCACATCTCAGTTACCAAACCGACTACACACCGATCCCAAAATGAACCCTTCTCGTCCATTCGGTCTAATAACGGAATTGTCGGTCTGGGTTCACAAGTTCACTGATGTCCCATTATAACACACGTCAACTTAAGACACGCACTTCAGTGGGTTGTCGGCTAACTTGTTATTATGTCGGTTTTGTTAAACGATACCCAGATGTTAGTCTCGTCGATTTTCCAGTGGAAAATATTTTGGCTCGATATTCCTTATAAGCCTATTCCTTAGATACATATATTCATATAACTTATTATATTCCTCATCTATGATTCCGTTTTCCAACCTTTTCTGTCCCTTCAAGTTAATGATCTTTGTCGTGCTCACAAATTCGAATTTACCAACATTATTGATATAAACCAATATTATTTGTACAATGTCTGTATTGACAGTGTCAATGAAATTAGTTAAAAGATATAACCGTGATAGCAATAGCTAAAATATCAATGTAATTAATCTTCGAAAAGATAAAACAGCCGAAAATGTGTAATGTCTATCATAAAGCAATAACAATCCCATACAGCGCTGTCTAATTCTACAGGAACATTTGAAAGGAAGTGCCATTTTCCTGTATGCGTCATGGCTGATAAACTAAATTTCATCGGGGATTCCCCGTGCATTGCATTTTCTTCCGGATGGTGTCTTTGAAGGTGACGAGTTCTTTCCTTGCCCGTCGGTTCATGAATGCATAGATGAGTGGGTTGATGACATTGACGCAGTAGGCTGACCACATAGTGAACACACCCACACTTTCGGGAACATCAGCAGACATGGCGCGAACGAGGAAGAACGGTCCCCAGCAAATGACCTGTGACAGCACCAGAAGGAATCCTGTAACGGAAGAGCAGTTCGTAAGACAATAATGTATATTCAAGTTTCATTTATTTTCAAGACTGGATTGGGTTGGTCTTGAACATGTAAAGCTCGTCCCATTTGTTGTCTCTTTTAGTTTATTTCCCTTTCTCCACCCCAGATCGCGTCGGCTATCTTTCTCCTCCCATCTCTCTTTTACATTCTTTCCTCTTTCCCTCTCAATTCCATTCCCTGTATTGTATTTCTCCCCCCCGCCTCCTCTTTTTCTCTTCCTCACCCCTCTATATACCGTATCTCTCGTCGTCTCTACGGGTCTCACCTCATCTCTCTCTCTCTCTCTCTCTCTCTATCTATCTCTCTCTCTCTCTCTCACTCTCACACACACACACACACAACAGACACACACCATAATTATCTTTCCGTCTCTTCCAGACTCCTCTCCCTCTCTCTCTCTCTCTCGATCTCTCTCTTTCTCTGTCTCTCTCTCACTCTCTTACTATTACTCTCTCTGTCTCTCTCACTCTCTCTCTATTACTCTCTCTTTCTCTCTCTCTCTCTCGTCTCTGAAGTAACTTCTATATCTGCCGCTTTGCTCCTTCGTCTCTGTTCATTCTGCCTTTTTTATCTCGCTTTTGTAATAACGAGGGTTGAAGCGTCAGATGGCGCTCTTCTAGTTCAGAAACATCCATGAACAGATGTTTTAAAACAAAAAATGAACAGACTATAATAGTAACGTGTGCTAAAAGCAATATGGACCATAAATTGAAACCTACTTGAACTTCTGTCAATTGATCATGGACTTAGATGTTTAATAGATACTTATTATCCATGGGAGGGGTTCCATTCATTCACCGCCCCCCCCCCCCCCATCCTCGAACCATAGGTATTCAGTAAAAATCGACGCCCATGGACATCGATGAACCATTAAAGTAACTCGGTAATATTGTTGAAGGTTAATGAAAAAACTGCGTAATTTGTGTATGGAATGTTACTTATTATATTCCTTCTACTGTACTTACCTTCTAACATGCACTAAATCCTGAAAAATTTCTCAAACCACGAATTAAGTCATTAATGGTTTTCTTTGAAGGCGTCACTGTGCAAAACCCTCTAACAGTAAATTCTCTCAACCATTTTTGAATTTTTCCAACCGTTTTTCCATGAAATAAGACATTACACTGGCTTAAAAGTCTTTCAACACTGAAAATAGAGGAATGGTATATAGAGCCAATTCATTGCTTGGTGATGATTTACACTCAAATTTATAGATTATCTGTAATTGTACAGCTTGCATTGGGGTCACTACCTTAGCACCTTTTTCTCTCATCTGAACAATGTTACCAAGTCCCTTTAAACATAATTATAGGCCTTCACTTTATACTCAAATTTAAACCCGACGCTGGGTTTTAACCTTTGTAACTGCTCTAAAAAATAATTTATTGGTGAAATGACCCCAATTCAACAAATGATCTCACCCCCCCCCCTGGAGTTTGCCACTTGGATTTTATACTTTGATGCATTTGTAATTTAAGAAGACACCAGTCGCAATAGTACCCACGGTGTTAGGGGCTAATGGGGATATATCGTCATCTTACCTATGAGAGCCACTCGTTTCTGCACCTCGAAGTTTTTCTTCTCTCTTTTGACAGTGGAGGCGGTATCGACCGCTTTGTTTCTGCCACGTTCATCAGCCATTGGAGCGCTATCGGTTGTAGAAGGAGCTTGTACCCTTTCCTCTTGGATCCCACTCCTACATCGGTTCCCGTCAGAAGCTACATCAGTACCAGATTCTCCCTTCTGATCAGAGGGTGAGGTACTGCTCCACGATGCCTCTGGGACGACCTTGTCTTGATTGATGTAGGTTGTGTTTGTCCGGATTGTCACAACACTTGCCGAATCCGCCATCGAGGGATCACTCACCGATTGGCCCGATGCATCTGTGGTGGTTGTCGTAGAAGAGGCCATCTTCACTCCGTCTGTTCTCTTCGTCTTCTTCATTTCCCCGCGCTGCGTGCGCCCAGCCTGCTGAAGCGCCCTCAACTTCTGCTTCTGCTTCCAGAGGAAATATGCGATGATCGAGTAACAAACCGTCAGCGCTGGCAGTACGAAACCGATGATTATGACCCGCATAGCAATGCGGAACCGCTCGTCCTCCTCCTCATCGTCCTTGTACGTGCAGTGGCGGGTGTAGTGGACATAGATCATCGTCGAGACGATTTCCGTGACAGGCAAAAGCGCGACAGCGACGGACAACGACCATAGAAATACGATCATGATGCCGACCCTGAGGCGACCGTGAGTCTGGAGTACTTTCGCTGACGTGACGATGAAGACACGGTCCATTGCGATGGCGACTATGGTAAGGAAGTTGACGAGTGAAAAGAGGAGCACGCAGAAACCATTAAACTGTCAAACATCAATCAGAGAAAAGAGAAGTGGAAGACTTTTATCAATAAAGTGTAAGTCGTCGACATCCCACAAAAAGGCCGTGTTAGCTGCATGTATGTATTTCCACTTGCTTGCAGCTACGTTTTACTTGTGGGCAGCCAATGAAATGCAAATTTTATTTAGATTACATTGGTCTACGTGCTATTTTTGCTAGGTGTTCAAAGTGTATGCATTATTATTCGAGCTATGCTAATGTATTGACGACAAATCTAATTCACCTCTAAATCTAATTGAATAATAATAATTATTATTATTATTATTATTATTATTATTTAAAAAAAAAATTATAATAATAAATTAATTAATTAATAACATTTGTAATAAAAAAAGAAAAAAAGAAAGGTAATGGTAAATAAAATATAAATAAAACACTAAAAAAATCACAATAAATGAATAAATAAATGATAATTAAGAGAAAACGAATCATAAAACATTTTCAGGGAAATGTACCCCATAAAAAAATCAGAAAGAAAAAACGTAAAGTATCGTGCTTTGACCAAAGAACAACGTGTTATTCCGCTGTCACTGTTACCACATTT